AAAAAAAAAAATAGTACTCGTTATAATTTCAAAATCTGTAGAATTATCATTAACTAACATTCTAGATAGTTTTACAATAACCTAATTAGTAGTACAAGATATATAATAATACAAAGTTAATATACTAGTTTTCATTATGTAACATACATACAGGAGCACAATCCTAATTAAATATGACACAAGTTCAATTATATGTAATAGAAAATTGATATTCTCTACTGTTCAATAGCTTCTAAATCCTTGGTGTCATCTTATAAAATCACTTTTTTTTCTTTAAATGGGAGGGGCATTTTTAAAGCAAAAAATGCTTTTATCATGGAACACGACTAAATGCAGTCAAGGCTGAAATTATAGAGGAAAGAACAATACCAATTTTTCTTTGTTGTTTCCCAAATTCTTTAGTAGAAAATGGATTGATTTTCATACATCTAATATATTCATGTTCTGTAGTTGCTTATCAGCTCTGTCATCATTATTATTGGTATTACAAATCCTCAACATTTTATCCTCTAACATATGGTGTTTGATTTTAGATCTTAATTACCTCCTGAATAATGCTGCCCCAACACCCCCTACTGCGGCACCAACTGATCCCGCAACAGCCGAGCCCACAGCACCAATGCCTACAGTACCCATGGTCTGTAGGGTGGCAACCTGTTTTAAGAAATTTTTTTTAATGGAAGAATTCCCTAACTTGCAAATTATTTTTATCACTAGGTTTACATTATGGGACTTTTCAGGGTCTACATCTAATAACTCAAATACATGGGGACACTATTGTAAATTTAAAGAATACAGCCAGTTGCCTATATAGTATACAACAGAACAAAACCAAAAGACTATTTCTATCAATAACAGCAGAATAAAAAAATCCTACATGCGAATTGTCCTTGATATAAATTAACATGAAACAAAATTGGATAAATACACATCATTGAGCTAATTGATAATATCTAATCTATATATTGTCAAATGTATTTACAGGTATATCAAAATTTCAGAGATAAGTAGCTGAGAGAGAAAATGACCTTGGTTATTTAGCCGAAAGCAAAACAAAAACTGTCCTACAAATTTCAGAATTACTTTCCAACATTTACCTGAAGATGATATTCTCTTAAAGACTAAACTACTTTTAAATAATGAATCACAAGCTCCTTACCAAACCTCCGGCTACAACACCCCCACCATTGGCAATGGCAGAGGCTGACATCATGGAAGCAGCCCAAGACCCAGCAGTAATTCCTGCAGAAGTAAAGCCCACACCTAAAGAAAGGGGGGGGAAAAAAATTAAACTAAATTAAATCAAATTAATTCTCTAAGCAAACGCTACATTATTCATAAAATAATCCTTACAAGTGGTCATTTGTTACTCCTATGCTGGTTGCTAATTTTACGTCTGTGATATGATAGGTTTGGGTAATAGAAAACAAAAATCATGGTAGTGTCAAATTTCCAATTCAAAAATAACCCTGATGTTTTAATTTTCCACTAGCACATTCACGAGACACTAAAAGTTTATGATAACTTATTAAAACAGTATAAGTATAATTACAAGCCTCATTTGGTTCTCCTTTACACGTCTTTCATGAAATGTGCTCCACCATGACACAATGTCAGATACTTTAGATGTCATTTTAATTCTTCCTCCAGCATCCCTTCATAACAAACAGCTAAAAAATGGAACACTACTTACTACTTACATTATCTATTTAGATTTCAAATGACATACAACAAAACCATGTGGGAAGAATCTACAGACACTCTTATGCACTCTTGTGATTTATGAGTATTTGTAATCAAATCCACTGAATTGCATCAAAATTGAACAAAGTCAGATAAAATAAAATAAAATAAATAAAAGGACTTACCAGCCAATGCAACAGGTGCTAGAATAGCACCTCCAACTGCACCGACAGTCGTACAAACACCGATCTTCATCAACTTTTCCATCTCTGGTGTGACTGAAGGGCTCTTCAGCAAGTTACTGCCTTCTTCTTTATCTAAATCTTCCTTTGAGTTCTTATTCTGTGTTTTTGATATATACATATATATATACATACATGAAGTACATGTATGTATATATATGTATATAAATACATATATGTATATATATGTATATATACGTATGTACATATACATATATATATATATATATATATATATATATATATATATATATATATATATATATATATATATATATATATATATATATATATGTATATAAATACAAGTACAAGTGCATATATGTATATATATATGAGTTTGTGTATATATGCATAATATAATATGTGTACATACATTTATATGTATATTATATATATGAATGTATATATATGTATATGTGATATATGTGTATGTATATATACATTTATAAATATATATACAAATACACATACATACATATATAAATGAATATATATATATATATATATATATATATATATATATATATATATATATATATATATATTATAATATATATAAGATATATATAAGATATATATAAGATATATATATTATATATATATTATATATATACATATATTATATATTATATATATAATATATATTGTATTTTTAAATTCTATATATATAAGATATATGATATATATTATATATAAAATATATATACTAAATATGTAATATATGTAACATATATATAATATAAAAATATAATATGTGTGTATGTGTATGCATATGTGTATGTATGTGTGTATGTATGTGTATGTATGTGTATGTATGTGTATGTATGTGTATGTATGTGTATGTATGTGTATGTAGGTGTGTATGTAGGTATGTATGTAGGTATGTATGTAGGTATGTATGTAGGTATGTATGTATGTATGTATGTATGTATGTAGGTATGTAGGTATGTAGGTAGGTAGGTAGGTAGGTAGGTAGGTAGGTAGGTAGGTAGGTAGGTAGGTAGGTAGGTAGGTAGGTAGGTAGGTAGGTAGGGCTTGTTGTCACAGGGGTAAGTTGTCACAGCTTCCTTTTACCCTAAGAATGGTTTGTGATTTGAATGAGAATTGTTGCCTGTTGAAGTACTTCATGTTAGCTTTCAGTTCATACCAGCTGACATTTTGTTCTTGTGTTCTGTGGAAAGTTATCAAGCCAGCCTCGAATGTTGAAGATTGAACACGATTTGTCTACTCTTGGAAAAAGGTTTATTTTTGTTATGGTTTACTCATAAATAAAACTTTCTTTTTTATTGTGTACAACAGCTCTATTACAGTTATATGTGTGTTTCAGAGATCATTTTCGACTTTAATCGAAAATATGGGCCTAAATAATGGTTGGCTATTGTTGAGGCTTGTGACAGTTTTCCCCATGGTTATTTATGAACTACTGTGTTTACAGATATTTAAAATATTAGATATCTTTCATCAGAGTAATTAAATATATTAAATATTGATTTGGTTCATCACAACCATGCCAAACCTGTACCTAATTGTATACTTTTATTTTTTAGATGGTGCAAAATTATCAGCGAAAGACAACCAGAGGGGAAACGGCCAAAAGAAACTTTTGATGCAGCAATTCAGTCAGTGAAAAATGGAATGAGCATACACAAGGCTACAGTTGCCCATGATATTAATTATGGCTTGTTACTTGCAGAAATGGGAGGAAAAAGGCACTTTGGAGCAAGTTCATATTGGTTACAAGAAAGTCAGGTTGTGTTTGAGTGAAAAGTGTTCGCTATTATCTTGGAAGAGTAATCCGTGTGCATGCAGATGACAATGAAGTCGAGCTTCATTTATGCGAAGCAGTCTGTCTGTTGATGGCAAAAAATGTTTTTCTTTCCCAGATAACAATGACAGTTGTCTTTATTACAATAGAAGACATAATTATGAAGCTGCCCAATCACTGGGGCATGTTGTCACAGTCAAAATGAAATATTAAAATGAAAAAATATATTTACTGAACATCAATAATAACAATCTCCTGGGCATTTTTGGTAAAGAGGCAAATAAGGTTTATAAAAAAAAAAAAAAAAAAAAAAGTTTGATTTAATTCCTACATTTAAGAAATTATGGCTTGTTGAGTAATTTTTGTGACTAGCCCCACCTTCCCCTGTGTGTGTGTGTGTGTGTGTGTGTGTGTGTGTATGTGTGTGTGTGTGTGTGTGTGTATGTGTGTGTGTGTGTGTATGTGTGTGTATGTGTGTGTATGTGTGTATGTGTGTGTGTGTGTGTGTGTGTGTGTGTGTGTGTGTGTGTGTGTGTGTGTGTGTGTGTGTGTGTGTGTGTGTATGTGTGTGTGTGTGTGTGTGTGTGTGTGTGTGTGTGTGTGTGTGTGTGTGTGTGTGTGTGTGTGTGTATGTGTATGTGTATGTGTATGTGTATGTGCATGTGCATGTGCATGTGCATGTGCATGTGCATGTGCATGTGCATGTGCATGTGCATGTATATGTATGTATGTATGTATATGTATGTATGTACGTATAAGTAGGTATGTATGTATAAGTAGGTATGTACATATATGTATGTATGTGTATGTATATGTATGTATGTAAGTATATGTATGTAAGAATATGTATGTAAGTATATGTATGTATGCATGATGTATGTTTATGTATGTGTATGTATGTATGTATATATGTATGTATGTATGTGTATGTATGTATGTATGTGTATGTATATATATGTATGTATATGTATGTATATATATGTATATGTATGTATTTATGTATGTATATGTATGTATGTATACATGTACAAATATACATTCTGTTGTTGAGAGAGACAGAGATATTGATTGATGGTCACAAAGTGACATTACTGAACAATTTCAAAAAGAAATCTTTTGTCCTGAACACCCAATATAAAAAAATTCATAAGAGATAACATAGCCGCCCATCCCCAACCCAAAAAAAAGGGAGAGAAAACAAACAGAACTACTGCACAAAATGTCAGAGAAAGATTTCTAAATGTTTGGGTAGCAGAGGGCGAGACGAATCCCTTGACAAGAATATTGTCATGATCGGTTACCAACACAATCAATCACAAAATAAAACTGTATAGACTTTGAAATTAAGATATACTGGAAGGTCCATAATAACTTTGCCCGCAACCCAACACAATCAATCACAAAATAAAACTGTATAGACTTTGAAATTAAGATATATTGGAAGGTCCATAATAACTTTGCCCGCAACCCAACACAATCAATCACAAAATAAAACTGTATAGACTTTGAAATTAAGATATATTGGAAGGTCCATAATAACTTTGCCCGCAACCCAACACAATCAATCACAAAATAAAACTGTATAGACTTCGAAATTACGATATATTGGAAGGTCCATAATAACTTTGCCCGCAACCCAACACAATCAATCACAAAATAAAACTGTATAGACTTCGAAATTACGATATATTGGAAGGTCCATAATAACTTTGCCCGCAGTACTATTACCTTGACGAGGCCTCGAACGCGAATAAGACGGGGAGAGAGAGGGAAGGGAGTTGTCGGATATTACGTTTCCTTTTTCAATTTATTATCTACTGCATGTGGGAACTGATTGATGGCGTTACTGAAGTTACTGAAACTGATGTATGCTGATGTTAATTCGTAAGATGACTAGAGGTAAATGAAGAAATAAATATAAGCAAACATCTGTCATCGTCTAGCTGGCGCCTTACTCTCAGATTAGACAAGTATGGGACCTGTTAGTTGGTTAAGTCATCTGCTGTATTTCGTGTCTGTCTTGTATCTCTTCCTTTCAAAGTGACTTTTAATTATCTTTATAGACCTTTATTCATAGGATACTTTTATAAGACAAAGTTCCACATTGTTGGATACATACATTGTAATAAGCTAACAGATTATATTCGTTTATGATTGAGTTGTCTGAAATATCTGGTAACTTTTCCTCTCAAACACACGGCGTCTCAGTTGATATATTCGATTTTGTATATTGTCAATAACATGTGTTTGTAGAAAGTTTAAACATGGGATATAAAATTGAAACAGTAAAAAAAAAAAAAAAAAATGACCAGGAAAAACAAAGCTTATCGGCAATATGAAGCAATATTCATGCAACAGCCAACCTACAGTTTCCAAGCGGGGACTATGAATCATGATGGTATTTTTAATGTAGTTTGTCAGTACATCAGTTCTCACCGCTTATCTGCCACTGGCCTGTTCGTGGTATATATAATGCTAAACGTCTTCATGCACAGAACAACGCATATATATATATATATATATATATATATATATATATATATATATATATATATATATATATATATATATATATATATATATAAATGTGTATATATATATATATATATATATATATATATATATATATATATATATATATATTTATATATATATATATATATATATATATATATATATATATATATATATATATTTATATTTATATCATCATCATCATCATCATCAGCCTGGGTCAATCCACTGCAGGACGTAGGCCTCTCCCAATCATTTCCATTCATGTCTGTCTTGCGCTTTTTGTTCCCAGTCTTGGCCCCCAAATTTCGCTATTTCATCGCGCCATCTTGTCACAGGTCTGGCCCTTGGCCTCCTAATGTTATCTATAACCCAGTCTGTTACTTTCCCTGTCCATCTGTTGTCCTGTCTCCGACATATATAACCTGCCCATTGCCATTTTTCTTTTTGATGCTCCCGAGTATATCTTCCACTTTTGTCTGTTCCCTAATCCACGTCGCCCTCATCCGATCTCTTAGACTAATTCCCAGCATATATATATATATATATATATATATATATATATATATATATATATATATATATATATATATATATATATATATATATATATATATATATATATATACAGGGAGGGAGAGTATACTGTGTACTAAGCAGTATAGGACAGTTCGGTGGCCGCCCTTGACCTTAGGCGACCCCGCGCTTATCCCAAGACTTGTCTCGTATGTGTATTAATATCTGTGTGCTTAACTCTTAGTAATAAAGTCTCAAGCCACCAAGCTTTTAGGGAGGGAGGGAGGGAGAGACAGGGGGAAGGAGGGAGGGAGAGAAGAAACAGAGAGAGGGAGGGAGGGAGGGAGAGAGGGAGAGAGGAGAGAGAGAGAGAGAGAGGGAGAGAGAGAGAGGGAGAGAGAGAAAGAGAGCGAGGGAGAGAGAGAGAAGGGTGGAGGGAGAGAGGGAGGGAGGGAGAGAGAGAGATAAAGGGTTCAGGGGGAGGGAGGGAAGGAAGGAAGGAAGGAAGGAAGGAGGGAGGGGAGAGAGAGAGAGAGAGAGAGAGAGAGAGAGAGAGAGAGAGAGAGAGAGAGAGAGA